ATCTGAGCATGCACTGGCCCAGCTCAAGCATCCAGCCACCCCAAATCTGTTTGGAGCAAGGGCCTCACTAGGCACCCAATCCTGTCCTTTTCTTTAGCTAGAATCTGGTCACCCAGCTTTGTGTTGGTAAACTATTCACCTGTTCCACAGGCTACAGCACAACAATCTTTCCCCTCATTCCCCACCCTCCAAACCTCAAAAAGCTGAAAACAGGCCTGCTCTTACCATGATGCAATTGGGCTTGCTAACTGACCATATGTTGACCCGACAGTCATCTCCTCCAGTGGCCAGCATCCGGCCTGAACCTTTTCCCAGGACTACTGAGGACACATTGCTGCTGTGGGCCACGATCTCTTCTGCACAAAACAAAGCCAACAGTTATGACAGACCAGTATAACAATTTTCATCCCATTCCTCCAAAAGCACTAAAAAATATTCTTCCTCCAGAAACTTCACATAGTTTTCTATGGACAAGCTGCAGCAGCCAACTGCTCAGATAAGAAGTCACACTATTATCTTGCTTGAAACATTCTCTCTCAGTTCTGCCCTCTGCACTTATGACATTAGCTGACCAAAGCTTCACGACTCCAGTGCTCACATGGCTTGCAAAAAGCATCTTCTCTCACTTGCAGCAGCTCAGGAGCTTTTAAAGGTTTGCTCAAGTGAAGCAACCTGAACACAGAAGGCGCCTTACCTGCAGTAGTGCACAGCAGCCAGAGTCACCTAGTGGAAGGCTCTCTAATCCTGTTCTAGAAAGCAGCAGCAGCAGAGAGTCTAACCTGAGAGGAACTGACAGATGAGCAGTGGTACAGTTTGCTACCCTACCCAGAGAAAAAGTCGGACTCAGCAGAGGGGAGAGGTGGAGCTCCTTTCCCTGAGCTTTGGCAGAGGCTTTGCAACATTCCCACTAACACAGGCAAAACCGAGCACTGCAGAGCATGAAACTGTGACAAAGGAGGGTGAGTGTCTACCCAAAAGGGCAGAAAAGAACAAACTCCATTAATGCTACAAGACTCTTAAAAAACTGGGGGCTAAGGGGAAGCTCTGACACTGCAGAAACCTCATCATAAAGAAACCAATTTGGGGCAAAAGAGAAGCCAAAGGAGCATCTTTGCTCAGATATCTCATTTGCATGGTGGATTTTTAACTCCACTCAAACTCTTGGCAGGGGCTTTTGGCAGATGCATTTGCATGCCTGATAGTCATGAAACCTGTCCATAAAAAGGGTGAGTAGCATCGATTCAGCTTTCATTCAGACTGTTTGGATGGGAGGAGCAATTCCAACATTTTACATGCAATACTAATCCAAAAGGATATCAGACAGCTGCAATAATAATTACAGGTACTTTCATTTCAAACTCTCAGAGTGCTTTTTTGAAAGCCAAACTGCGTAACTTTCACCTGGGCTGGAGAAACACCTTTCAAATTACAAAGGTAACCAGACCACAAATTACACGTGAAGGACAAATCTGAAAACACGCTTGTATTGTGTTGAAAGACCAAACTTCCACATGACAATGGTAAAACAAAGTGTTCTTAAAACATGGACTAGAAGGTAACCAACAGTACAATTAGCATTAATAGACAACTCACTAGTTAAAATTGAAAGGACAGCTGCAGAGCATTACTGCTGAAATGAGTGTGTCAGCAGCTCCGCTTTTTCCTTCCTCTTGATTTCATTCTTAATATTATATTGTAACTTTATAAGCTTTGGGGAAACATCCAACCCTTTGATCATAAAAGCCAGGTGATAATCAGGAGTCTGCCTTGGCCAGAAAGGTCCATCCTCTCCCTCATAAACCTCCTTAAACCCACAAACTTTTTTGTTTCATCTCTCGTCGCCATCTCTCACACACCAGCCCAGCAACACTGAACTCCTAATTAGCATTGCTGAAACATTCCTAACACTCAGAGTGCTTCTTGCTCTCAGGAGGATGCTAAGATGGGGCACAGCCCGGCAAAAATGAAGATCAAGAACTTCTGCCCACTTAGGGAATGGAGAACGATCGATTTCCAGCTTTTCCTAGGACTGGAGTTTCAGGCTTGGGAAGATAACAAAGTAAACTGGCTTTCTGCTCAAAAAGATACAAAATTGCTAAGTCAATTATCTCAGATCCCTTCATGTGTTACCAGTCAAGGATACTGTATTTCTGCTGGCCAATTTCTAGGCCCCACATCAAAGCTCTAAAGCAAATGACCGCACTCCATTGCTTCTAAGCATTCCTCGAAAGCTCCTGTGAAATAACTCACCAGTGGTCAGCGAAGCAGACAGAAATTGGTAGTCAGTGACTGTCTACTGCTCCTTTAGAGGAAGAATGGACATAAAAGCAGCAGATTCTTACTGTCTCTTGCAAAGCAATTTCAAGAGAGACACACAGGCCCTGCAAAGATAAACCTCGTTCCTCCTGCAGTGAAAAGCTCACCGAACCTTCTGTAACCAGTGAGCAGCAATGAAGGACAACCCCAAATAGGCTAAGTTTGGGGCTTCCTCTCTGACACTGAGGGGACTCCCTGCCACAACCTGGGCTCTGAAGGGGGTTTTCCATTGAATCACAGAATACCCTAAGCTGGAAGGCACTCACAAGGATCATTGAGTCCAGCTCCTGGCTGTGCACAGGACAGCCCCAACAATCCCACCCTGTGCCCAAGAGCATTGTCCAAACGTTCTTTGAGCTCTGTCAGGGTTGCTGCTGTGATTTCCCTGGGGAGCCTGTTCAGTGCCCCACCACCCTCTGGGTGAAGAACCTTTTCCCGATATCCAACCTAAACCTCTGCTGGCACAGCTCCAGCTGTTCCCTGGGATCCTGTCACTGGTCACAGAGAGCAGAGATGGGAGCTGCCCCTTTGCTGCTCCTTGAGAAGAAGCAGCAGCCCACGGTGAGCTCTGCCCTCTGCCTCCTCCAGGCTGAACAGGCCTAGAGATCTCAGCCACTCCTCGTATGGCTTCCCCTCTAGACCCTTCCCCATCTTTGGATGCTCCCTAAAAGCTTTATATCCTTCTCATACTGTGGTGCCCAAATGTGTCCCGGGGAGTCAAGGTGAGGCTGCACCAGCACAGAGCAGAGTGGGACAATCCTCTCCCTTGACCTGCTGGTGATGCTGGGCCTGATGCACCCCAGGGCACACTGGTGGCTCATATCCAACCCTTGGGGGCTACCAGGGCACACTGGTGGCTCATTTCCAACTTGCCATCGACCAGGACTCTCAGGTCCCTTTCTGCGGGGCTGTTCTCCAGCCTCTCATCCCCCAGTCTGTCTGTACAGCCAGGGCTGCCCTCGAGGTGCCCCATCCCTCACTGCCTCCGTTGTTCTTGTACCACCTCGGAGTCCCGCGGGGCCAGCCAGGCATTTGGGCTATTGCTGCAGCAACTCATCAGAAAAAGGCACAGGCCGTGCCCCTTCGGTGACAAGGCTGCGCTATCTCCCGTGCCGCTGTGTTTTCAAGTGGGACTTCCAGGAGTTAAAAATTCCAGTCGGCAACGTTCACCCCACACCCAGAGCAGGGATGAGCTGGCTCCTACCACCCCCTCCCCGCACTCACGCAGCTTCCACGCCGTCTTCGTGGTCACGGCCACGGCCATGGCTCAGAGCGGCGCCTCTGGGGCGGGCACGGCTGCGGCGCCCTCCTCCTCCTCCTCCTCCCGGTGAGGCTCCGCTCTGCTGGGGGGGTCGTCCGGCCGGGCCGTGCACCGGGGCTGCCCCGGCGGGCACACACACAGGTGCGGTCACGGCGAGACCCTCCCGAGCGGCGGCGCGGCGGAGGGCGAGGCCTCACCGCTGATGAACATCACGGGGGCGGGAGCGCTCCTCGGGCCGCCGTGGGGAATCGCGTGGACGCTGGTGGCGGCGGGGCCCGGCGGCACCGGCACCGTGACCGGCACCGTGACCCGCACCGGGACCGGGACCGGGACCCCCCGCCTCCAACCGGCCCCTCACAACAACCCCGCGCCGCGCCGGGCGGTTGCCCGGGTTGCGCGCGCCGCTCGGCCAATAGGCAGCGAGGGCAGGGCGGTTGCCATAGCGACGGTGCCGCGGCGCCCACTCGCAACGCGGCTTCTTGCGGGAAGCCGTTCGGGGGCGGCCAATGAGGAGGCGGCGTGCTGGATGGGCGCCGCCATCTTGCGGGGCCGCCCTGAGGGGCGGGGGCCGGGCCGGGGCCGGGCGGGGTCGCGGAGCTTCCTCGGCGGCTCCTCCGCGGGATCGGAGCCTGCGGCGGCCTCGGAGCTTTCGTGGGGGCGGCCGAGGTCCTTCCCGGGCCCTCTTAGTGTGTCCCGGGAGTTGGTTCCCGGGTGCCACGGGCACAGCCGTGGGGGGGAGCGGGGCTCCCGTGAGGCTTCTGCGCCTCCCGCCGCCCGGCTGAGGTGCGGTCGTGCCGTGCCGCTTGAGCGTGTTTCACACCGTCTCTGAAGCCGATTACTCCCATCGACAGAGAAAATCAAATTATTTTGGCGCTACTCCTTGATAGCGACCCAAGAACGCTGGCTGAATTCCCAAGGATCACCCCCTCCGAGCTCAGGAGTGATACATCCCGACAAGGAGGAAAGCGGGCAAAAATGCCAGGAGGCCTCCGTGGATACCTAAGGAGCTGCTGATCAAACTCAGAGCTAAAAAAGCAGCTTTCAGGAAGTGGAAAGGAGGACAGGTGGCCTGGGAGGAATACAGGGAAATCCCATGGCAAGCGGGGAGGGACTAGAGATCCTTTCCAATTCTATGATTTTATAATATGCATTTGCTGGTGTTTTGGCAGCTGCTGTGTCCTTAATGACTGTAAAAGTACTTTTAAATTAATTTATTCTGGTGTCTTTTCTGGTAATGAATTAACAAGTATTAATTCATAACCACAGTGCTATGTGTGGGTTTTGTCATTGGAGAGCTCTAAATGAGGTCAAAGAAATTTTATGTTTGTGGTGAACTCACCAGTTCAAAATCTTGGTTTGTACAAAACTAAATTTGAATTTGTTAAAATATTATCATGTTGGAAAAGAACTGGTATTCCCAAATAGTCCTGCTCCTGATGTCAGCAGCTATGGATCAGGTTTGGGGAAGAAAAGCCCCTGAGAGACAGTGTCAGACTTGAGTCTCCCACATGATGGGATTTCACGAGGGAACAGATGTACCTGCAGATGGGCCTTAGAACAAAAGAGAGAAAAGAAAAAGACACAGAATGCTGCAAGTTCATTAAAATCTCCTAATGCATCTGATGATAACGAGAGAACTGCAGGCAACTAGAGAGAAGGAAGGAAGGGAGAAGTCAGTCGTGCCCAGCCAGGCGGGGATTCCTGAGCAGCGCCTCTTGAAGAGAATGGGATTTCTGTTGTGCCAGCTGCTTTTCCCTACAACAACAAGGGGGATATCAGAGGAGAACTGCAGTGGGAATCAACTATTTCGCAGAACAGCTTCAGTGCCAAGTTGCCAGGGGGCTGCCTTGTAGACCTGCCCTGTGCACTGCTCAGGCATCACTCCCGATACCTGCCGTGTCTCTTGAGTCTGACCATACTGGAGTTGGTTGCAGCGTGATGGGCACGGATTCCATCCTCCTCCCAGTTCCTGTTCTCCGAAAGAAGAGAGCTCTGGGAGCTCTTCTGCCGCTTTTGCAGCGCCTGTGAGGGAACAAGCAACCAGAAGTCAGGGCAATAGAGAGGAGAGTGAGGAGCAAAGGCTCACAAAAGCACAGCTCAAAGTTCAGGGAGCTGAGATGAAAGAAACCATAAATTGGAGCTGATTTATTTTCAGGGAGCAGCAAAAAGTTTGAGATGAGGTCTTGTGAGAACAAGAAAACAAGGGAAAACAAAACACGTGGAACAGCAAGAGGCAACAAAACCCCAATGTGTTGCCTCACTAGAGTCAAGAAGCCCTGGAGAATCAAACTGGCTCTGATTGAGATAAGGACTAAATTTCACTGCAGAGCTATTTTGTTCTTTGATCTCACATGGTAATGACAAAAAAATAAATTATATACATATACAGGCATGGCCCTCTTAAAATATTTCCCCCATAATCCTTATTATCAACTATTTTCTTTATTAACTAAACAAAATAAACCAGTAATCTTTCTCAGTGATTGGAGTTTATCTAGAAAGTCACAAGGTAACCATAGCATGACCATGTTATATTACCCTAGGAAGTCATTTGAAGCTGTGCTGACTTACACCATACTGAGATTTGTCCCAGTATATTTTAATGATCCTAAAAGCCCTCTAGAGGCAATTCCTCAGAGGGGAAAAAGCTTACTCTGGATTTCTTTGGGTAGATGTGTTAAACGGTGGCATGAACCTACCATGGCTTCGTGCTGACCTTCTCTCTTTGCAGCGTTGTACATTGAAACTGTCAATTTAATATTGGCCTCTTCATCCTCACGAACCTTCAAGACATTTAGCACCTTCCAAGAAATCAGAAGAAAGTCAGCTTTCCCACAAAATGACTGTACTTCATGTACTTTATGTACTTTACCTGCTACCAGAGCAGATGCTGCATACAAGACTTGTAGAATAAGGGTAAATATGTATCTATGCAAATATGTTCATATCCCATGGGTCAATCAAGCTGATAGTAGTCTTAATTTTAGATTGTTACTCAATATGAAATTTTTGAACCCAGCTATTTGTAATAATTGATAAGAAAGCTTTTCTGGAGTCACAGTCTTGGCACTACTTTTGAAACTGCACCAAAAGCTTTGGCTTGTGCTTTGTCTTATGCAGGATATGCAGCACAAGCAGTGTGAATATTTCATCTGTTGATATATTCAGATTGAGAAATTTGGCAAGGTAGTTCATGAGGTCACAGTGAACTACCTTCAAATTTCTGGGGAAAAATGGAACTTTTGCAATGTTTTTCTTAATTATTGCTAATAACCTGGGCTAATGTAGTCGAACATTCTCTCTGCATCTCCTTCAGGGGTTTCTCTTCCCTATAAAAACATTAAAACCCAATCCAATAGCTGTGGCTCCATCTGCTAGAATGGCTGTATTTATCATGAAGTAATTAAAAAGAACATGGATTTGTTACACCGGTCACAGTGTGATTAACAGTAGAAGCAACGTATTTTATAAAGTATTTCCCTAAAGTTTCTCACAAGTCCCTTCAATATTTTGGATAGGACATCCTGGAAATGCCTATCAACTAGGTACAGCATTGCATACAATATCCTTTCATTTTGCTCTCATTCCCAGGCAAATTGCAGGTATGTTTCCAGGTGCCCCCATTCATATATTGCCATTTGCTCCCTGAAACTCTCTTCCTCACAGGGAATGAAGAGTAAGAGCAGGAGCTGTGACTCTCCATAAATATACTAAAGCTACATCTTCACCAAGCAGTGGCTGGGGAGCAAGCATGATCATTCAGCATGGAGACCAACTTTGTGACACCAGAGTCTTATTTTTACGACAGTTTATGCTGAGGATGCTTTGGCAACCAGTCAGCTGAAACTGTTTCCACGCCTGATCAACTCTGACGGTGTGGCCGCCTCCCCTGTTACCTCTGCTTCAGATTCCCGGACTTGGTGCTTCAGCTCCTTCTGGTCCTTTCTCAGCTCCCACAGCAACTTGTACAGGTGGAGCACGTTCTTGTGTTTCTCAGAGGACCATGGCTGGAAGCAGATAAGTCAGTGAAAAACAGCAGCACTGCCTGGATGCATGGGATCAGGTACTCTGCTGACAGAAACTGGCACAATCCTGCCACAGTCCACAAGGCGACTCTGATTTCCAGCACTGAAACATCGAACCCATGGTCAGCATGGGTTTATTAGATTTCATTTTGATTGGGAATCCATCAGCAATGTGAGACAGATGGCAAGTCTTGCACTTTGCTGATGCTGCTGGTATATGATTGGAACCATATTGCAGGGTTACAGATGGAACAATGGGACTCCAGCAATTGTTTTCTGCGTATTCTCCCCAGTGGGAAATAGGATTTTTTTAATGTTATGCAAGCTGGGTTTTTTTTAGTTTCTGTATTTGCAACCTCTCTTTGTTTTCCTTAAGTGTAATTCTGTAGCATCACTGCAGAATTTACTGGCAGATTTCTGCCCCCAGTTACAGACTCACATCAGTGATGTTAATGGAGTGACTGAACCCTGGGCTCTAATGAGGTAATTTGGCTTACTGGCAGCACTTCACTCTTTTTAGAAAATCTTTTATTTAAGGCTATCTATCTATCTATCTGTCTATCTATCTATCTATCTATCTATCTATCAGCAATGTATTAAGGCTCAGTATCTTGCTCTGTGTCTGCAGGGTAAACACTGGAGATTTAAGAAATGATGGGGCCCGAGAAGTGCATGGCAGAAATGGAGCTAAAACACGGGGTGTCTGTCTCTGCTGCTCTGCTCTATCTCTTCTTGAAGAGGGAACAGCAGAGGAAATTTCAGCTACCCTGCCATGAATCCACAGAATTGAGCCCAACAGCTGCTGAACCTGCATCTTGCAAGATCCCAGGGGCTGTGGGATCTGCCTGATGCCCAAGTCTGGGAAGATGACCTCAGGCATGGCTAGAGGAAGCCTTTCACACTACTACGTCCTGCATGCCCAGTCACTCCCAGCATGGCAGGGCATCTCCAGGGCTGTCCGTGTTGTGGACAGGGGCTGTGAGGGAGCTGTGCAGGTAGAGCAGAGGGGCAGCATGGAATATGTCATGCTTGTAGTTCTTCCACTGACATTTCACCTTCCCTTTGTGTCTTGTGATCTAAAAAGATTTCAGGATAAATGTGGTTTTTCTTCATACCTGGTATTTGACACACGTGTCTCGGGTCAGGAAGATTTCCTCTCCTTTCCTATCCCTCTGTATTGCTCTGAAGAAAGCCACCTTCGAGGCAATGGTGTCATGATCCTCGAGGTGATAAGTCAGCTGGATGCTGTCATCTTTGATCATAAAGATACGCTCCTCTACATCTTCGTCAGCAGGCTTTTCTGGATTTCTGTGGAAACACTCCTTGATTTGCTAACGGAGGGTGAAAAAAGATATGGAAGCAGCTTAGACAACACAAAGCTGGCAAGATTTACAGAATTCAGTAAAAAACAAAGGTAAAAATTGTGCTTTTTTGACTGGACTACAATGACATCTCTTGGCCAGTGGTCCTACTGTTCTTGTCTATGTCTGGAAAAAAACCAACCACAAAGCTCTTTAAGGCAATACAGAAGTGTCCTATCTGTGGAGCTGAGTATGCTTTCTAAGCTCCAAGTTAGCTTGGGATGCATCCCTGCCTGAGGGAACTGCAGGTAGCAAGGTATTTTGGTGCACAGCAAAGTTTCCCACATTTCCCAACACAGGGATGGAAAAAGTAGTATGTTGGGTGCTGATGCAAAGACAGGCCACTGCATAGCTCTGTCTTGGCAGCTGAGCTATCTGAGTCATACATACTGACAGATGTCAGATTTCCTCCTCCTTCTGTTCTGCAAATCAGACCTGACAAGAGGAAGAGGTAAATTACCTGCTGGTAACAAATCAGTGATGGGACACTTCATCAGGAACCTAAAACAGTATTAGCCTGGGCTCAGCACACAAAATCATTTTACCAATTTTGAATCTTATGAAAATTTTGTTCCAAAGTCATAGTCAAGGTTTTTTTTTTCCTTCCTCTGACACACACTTTCCAAGGCTTAGTTTCATTCTAGCAGTTCGTGACAACTGGTCACACTGTAGTTCTCTGTCAGACAAGCAACTGTGAGACACAGCAGCTGGACAAGGCTTGGATGCCTCATCTGGAGTTCTGCCTCAGCCATGCCCACTGAGAATGAACTAAAGCCCCAGGCAGCGTGTTCTGCACAGTATAAATATCACAGTGACACATTATTCTGTGACATATTATTCCTTGCCCGTACCACTATGGGCCGGAGGTGAAGATCAGGTCTGGTGCCAGCCATGCCCATTCCGTTCTCCCTTTCGCCAAACTCCACGTGCCGGATGTGCAGGAAGTCATCCCGGCCCACGAAGTACTCGGTCATCTCAGTAGTGCTTTCAACGCGTTTCCGGAGGTCATCGGCTCGTGCCTTGTGGTAAAACTCCATCGTGTGTCCAGTCTCTGGTTCCAGCGACGTGTAGGTGTGAGCTGAGGGCATACAATTACATTTTCAGAGTTAGCACCCCAGCCAGTAAATCAAATAAATACATGTAAGAGTGTAAGAAGGGAATGTTATCTCGTCATTGCTATGGCCTAAGGATTGCAGGACAGCTTTTCAGGGCCGCTGCCTCCCTTACACAGTAAGGAAGTAGCGAGGGGAGCCTGAACCCTGCTCTTCCCAAACCAGGAATGGGCACGGCCACTTTGGGTGAAATGCTGCTTTAGCAAAAGCTCTGCTGCAGAACTTTCCACCAGCTGCTCAACACCGAGAGACCAAACATAATTCTGAGAAAGTTTCTACTTCTATCACCTCTACTGGTAAAAGTACATTGTATCACCCCTGTATGTATTTTTCTAATACCTAGAAAAGCACAGAGCTGGGGGAGCAATGCCCAGGACTGGAAGCAACAACCCAGTTCTCTACTCTCCACTGGAGACCATGTTATTTATCTAGGCAATTTAACCTACAAATTCCCTGGTCATCCCCACTCCCCTGGACCCTCTCTTCAACTTTGGGCTTTTGCCACTCCTAGAAGAGATTCATATAAAGTCCCATGAGCTGCAGTGACTGCTCAGATGAGCTGGAATACCTTTAAGAAGGAGGGGATGTCCTGGCTTGAAATAGTCTGTGGTCAGCTGTGTTTGTTTATTCGTTTCTCTCATATCCAACATGTCTTCTCGATTTTTGAACCACTCTGTCACCTCCACTACTTCAGTACCTGGCAGGAGACAAGTCATTTTGCAACCTTACCTCACCCTGTTGGACATGGTAAAATTCATCAGGTGAGCTCTCAGTGTCTGTGCAAGTACCCTGTGCTCCTAATGCAGCCACAGTGGACATAGCATGGTCACTGGAACTGGCCCTGTGCACAGGAGTATTTTGTACATGAATCCTAATCTACATTTGAATTATGCCTTAAAGAGGGTTTATTCCTCTCCATCAGCCAGAACTAAATGAATCAGCTCAGGGGTAGAACTTGACATGGCAAATGGCTATGGTTAGGCAAGAAAAATTCCATCCCAAATACTTAATAATAGTGTCAGGAGCAAAAGGAAATGAGGCTGGAGCATCACACTACCCAAGAGGGCTGAGGGCAGGACACTGTATGTCCACCCAGAAATCTGCATGGTTTCTTGGACCAGCTGCTGAAGAATAATGTTTTCAAGCACAGAGATATCCTCAGGCTGTAGCTGCCCTTTTCTATAGCTCCTGTTGACATCAATAGGGATAGTGATACTGTTGGATTGAATCAAACCAGCCTTCCATTTCTCTGATGACTGAAAATCCAAGCAGCTGACCTGTGACACTGAACAGCTTCATTGGGGTGTAGAACAGATTCAAACTCTCATGGAAACCTTTATCAACGCTGGAAAGTTCTGGGGCTTGACCGACAGTGAGCGTGATGAAGAGTTTGAGGATATGGTAGATAAGTCCCCCACAAATGTGAGAGGAGGATGAGAAAACACAAGAGAGACTCTGGCAGAAAAGGGGCCACCTCCCCCTTTCCATCAGCATGCCCAAGGCTGTGTTTGCTCAATGCACTGGGTGTGTTCACTCATCCCTCTTACAGTCCGAGTCTCCGTAGATGGTGAGTCGTTCCACCAGCCCATCTCCATTCACGTATGGGGCCCACTTCTCCAGCTTTGCTTGCTTGTATGGGATCACCTTCTTCCCTTGGGAATACTGATTCTCAAATTCTGCAGTGTGCAAGAGAGATGTCAGGAAAATTGACTCCCTTCTACTCAGCCCAAGAGAGAAGAATTTAAGAGGGAGAAAACCATGGTCTAAGGGACACCATGTATTTACTGATTGCCTTCTGCTGCCAGTAAAGCTGTTCAAACCCTGTCTCTTGTGCTTTAATGTTATAATGGTATAATAGTTACTTTCTCTCCCAAAGCAGGTATTTGATAATGCAGGGGGGCACAGGGGGAACAGAAAGACCATCCCAGCCAAAATTCCCAGCTGGCAGGAAAACACAGTGTGGGGGTGTGTCTGTGGGAGGGTTCCCAGGTGAGACAGTGCAGCATTGAGGGCAGGCATTCAAACCAATAGCTGTTGTTGCCTTCATCTCCTGCACTTCACTGCTACCCCTCGACTATCCTGAAGGGAGAACTCTCGAGTGAGATAAACCAACGTGCCAAATCCACTGAAAGGTTAGCTGAGGGGCAAGAAAAGGCACAGAAAGAATACATACCTCTGCAAGACACATTAATTCGGGCCACCCACGATAGCGGCATCTCAAAACTCACGTCTCTCTCATTTTCCTTCTGAAACAGAAGCAGAGATTTGTGGTTTTGGCAGCTTCTCTTAACTGTGCCAGGAGGCATTTTGGCTCTGGAGAGTGCAGCACAGTGATCAGAGCTCAGCACGTGTGAGGCTGAGCTGGTCCTGAGGAACACAGTGGCATTTATGAGAGCGCATCCCTACTCGACCCTAATGAGATTATCTTTTCCTGGCTAATGCTCGTGCTGGACATGGGATATATGTCACAATTGCCATAATGACCAGTTTATTTTATTAAGACCATGAAGGATGTTTTGCTCCCCAGTTATGAGCACAGGCTGTGCTCATATGAGCACAGGAGAAGAGTAGATAGCAGGAGGAAATTGTTATTGGCATTCCTCCGTCCTGCTTTATCATGCTGTCTTCTTCCAACAGGACAACATACCATTTTTTGCTTACAGTATATTACAGTATATTAGAGGACATACATTATTTCTGTATTTGGCTGGCAGCTCCACCTGGCAGCCAGGAGGGCAGGGTGCTGACCAGCACAGAAAGAGTGTCCATAAAAATTTCAGTCTGGAATTTTTATTTTTTTTTTAATTACTTCATCCCAAAGGTCCATGCACTGGAGACATACAGAGCTCCCCTGCCGCTTAGCACACCAGAAGTACCACCTGAGGCCCTGCTTCAGAGAACATCAGAACTCTTCAAGGCTGAGAAGTGATCTGAAGTGCCAACCCAAACCTGACCGGAGTAGCAGTGATCTGACCTGGAGAGGGCAGCAGGCAGGCAGACACACACAGGCCTATGGACACACAGACTGGATACAGCATCCCCACTGCACGAGAGCCACCGTTTGGGTCACTCACCATGTCATCCATGTCTCTCTCAGATGACTCTGTGAGCTGCTTGTTGCTCTCTGGAAGCATAATTTCCCAGCGGATGGCATCACTCAAGTCAAAGCTGAGATCCTTGGCCATACAGAAAAAAATCTCTTTTAACTCCAGGGCAGTCTCAAGGGCCTGAAACTAAACTGAATGCTGCATTGATATGTCTGGGGTGCTCATTGGTATGGCTGGGTGTCAGAGAGTTTAAAGATACTAGAGACTTAAATCTCAGGGACGTGAGCTTATCAGACTCTTGGCTGGCTGGTGGGACCCCAAAGACTCTCCCTGTGCCTGGAGGCTGCAGATCCTTTTCCTCCTGGTGCCTCTGCCACAGATGAGAGCAAGTTGCTGGAAATGCTTCTACCTCCTTCCTAGGGCCATGCTTGGCCCAGAGGGCAAGTTACTCTGACTCAGACCCTCACCTCCCAGATTCTGTGTCAGCTGGGGAGTACCTGAGGTGTGGAAAGAGCCTCATCAAGGTCCTTCCTGCCTTGAGCCATGCCTGACAGGTTTGAAACACCCTCTGCCTCAAAAGCTCTTATTTGAGAGAATGAGTGTCTAGCCAGCCTTAAAAAAGCTGAAATTCTAGCACTGTAAGGGTTTAATAGGTGTGATCTGTATTTTCTAGCTCAGAGTCTGGGATGTCCTGGAGTAGTTCCAGGGTCTATTGAATCAGAGCAACATGACCAGAGCCAACACAAGGAATGAATAAGTGGAAACTGGACCACTACTGATCTTGGACTTGCCCAGGATTCATGTCAGCCCAGCTGTCCCTTGCATGCCCAAGGTGCTAAAGGGCTCCTTACCTTGCAGCCCTTCCGGCAATCCTGCATGTTCACCCAGTAGTTCCTGTGGTTCCAGATGCTCTCAATCCCAAGGAAGCACTCATCTGTGGTGCTGTGGCTGTTTCCCGTGAATGGATTGATGAAGAAGGTCTCAGGGACCTTCCTCTTCCCAGACAGGACCAAAACCCACGCGTGCACCCGTAAGCCATGCAGAGGGTCTCGCTTGGGCTTTTCCTGTACCTCCTGTAGCACAGAGGACAGAACAATAATTATCGCCACTTTATTACCAATTTAATCCAACCCAATGGCCATCTTATGCTTTCCTCTGCCCACTTTCAAAGCACTCCAGGCCCTTAATGTTCTTCCTGAGAGTGAAGCAGTACATACCTGGCACATATTCCTGTGCCAGCACACACAGTGCTCCCAGAGGCCGAGTGCTCATGGCCATGATCAGGGTTGTGTCATACTTCATGGAGGGGACTGGTGAACTCCTCTCTTTGGCCTTTGACCTATGTCTCAGCTCTTCCTCCTCGAGCTTACAGTGAGGTGGACCTTGCTATAACTTACCGTGACCACTTCCTCTTCTTCTTCCTTCTTTTGAACATCATCAGCTTCTTCCTTCTTCTTGGCCTTCTGCTGAAGCTCAAACTTGCTCTGTGGCTCTGCAAGGATCTTAACTCTATACTTTCTGGACTTCTTCATCACTGGTACCTGACAGAGATCAAGAGAAGGGAGAAAATGTATGGCTTACAGGTATCTCCCACTTCCCAAAACTCGGCAGTTTGCAGTACTGCAAACTGGAGGGCCTCTCAAGGAGCTGTGGAAAATCACTCAGAAGATTCCTTGGTGAGGTTGCCGGCACAGACTGAAAGCCAGTGCGGACCTGAAGCTATTCCCCCCCTATCTCAGCTCAGGAGCTCACTGGCCATGAACAGGCTGAGCATGCATGCTGGGCTCCTCCCTGCCTGCTCGCTGCAGGTCTCACCTCCTGTGGCTTCTTGAGCAGCGGGCACAGGTCCTGAGTCTGGTCCAGGGCACATATCTCCTGGGTGGCGTACCCATGCACGCAGTAGGCGTCGTAGCCGGCCCCGATCAGCAAGGAGCACAGCAGCACAGTGAAGTCAAAGCAGTTCCCCCGCTGGTACTTCAGGATGGTGGTTGGGGAATAGAGTGAACTGGGCTTGAAAGAGAGAGATCCATGTTCACAGTGCTTGTCTTGTGGAGCTGAAACATGCACCAGGCAGAGAGCAGGGGAGAGAGGGCATTGCCCACATCACTGGGCTCTGCACCCCTAGGGAATTTGGATATAACATTCCTATATGAGCCACAGACTCTAAAAGTCCCCTCTAAAGTGATGTGGGGAAATTCTGACCTCAAATCTGGTGACAAATTTAACCACAGGTAGAAATGAGCAAGGCAAGCTCATCAAACTGCTGAAAACCTAATGCTAAACACAACTCTGGAGCGGCGCTTCCCTCCATCTCCAGCTGCTCTGTCTGCAGCATTTCCATATCCATCTCCACCCATATCTCAGGCATCACCTTAGGTGACTAAGGCAGTCTCCATCTGCTAAATGGAGATACCTTCTCTGTGGTCACAAAGTGCCAGAGTTCCTCTTGAGACCCTGGGACTCTTGTGACACACTTGGCCAACATGTGGCCAGTGTAGACTGTTTGGGTCACTCCGTTGTCATTGCTAGCAAGAAGTGTGTTCCTTTTGTCTTAGCTGACGGCCAAGAACTTGCCCCAGCTCTGGCATCATCTTTCCTAACCTAGAAATCTCCCTTTAGCCATCCCAAAATACCCCCAAGATTGGGAATAGAAAGGTCTGAAGCCCCTAAGAACTGGCCACTGAGTCAAGCATCATCCCATAGGCTTTACATGCTCCTCTGTTCCAAGGTGCCTTGGTCTCCGGAGGGGAAGTTTGCCATGGCCACCCACAGGGGACCAGCTGGTCATCTGGGCTGGCTGAAAGCAGGGTCAGGCCTGGTCTTGTGGAAACGGTGCTGGATTACTTGAAAGGTACAACACTGAACACCCACCGGGATTGTGGATGCAACAGAGCGCACAGGGGCTGGGAAAATCAGGGGGTTGCCTAAATAATGAGGGAATGACGGAAGGGTCAAATTCCAGCCACTGGGGCTTCCCATTGTGTTCTGCTGAGAGGCCCTTCTGTCACCTCTCTTATGTTTCTGAAGGGGCTGCAGCTCCTTCCTTACCAGTGATATAGGACACTTGAGGGGCTCCATGGTGAGGTAATTAGAGACAAAGCTGGCACAGCCTGACCAGTGGTAGAGCTCTGGATAAGGCAGCAGGGTTGGCCTCAGCGTTGTGCTAACAAACTTCTGTAGGGCAACAAGAAGACTTTGTTTAGCCAACTGATGCCTGGTAGAGTTTCCTGTCCAAAGCCATCCTCAGACCACCCCTGGATGTTGCAGATCTCATTCAGGACCTCCCTAGAGCATATCAACAGCACCAGTATCCCTCCTCACCTGTTCCAAGATGGAAATTACATGGGGTTGGGAAGCTCTCTGTTTGACTGTGGCTGAAACTTTAAGCTCATCTCAGACATTTTCAAGCAAGACAAATAACTACTGCCCTTCCCAGCTTTTACATCCTCCAGCATGTTCTCCCTTGCATGATAATGATATAATAAATTTTGGGGAAAGCCTGTACAAAGCAGTAATTCCAGGTATCTTGGGGAACATCAGGTCCAGAACTAGACAACACTTGTGCAGCTTGGGCCCAGGGAAAAAAACCACAGACCACAAACTTCCACGTTTACTTCCTTCCCTGTAACTTCTGCAAAGTTCAGAGTATGACCTAACATTAGATCCATATTCCTTATCTGTGACTGAGCCTGGACCTTATCTATTTCACACGTTTCTTTTATTTTCCTCTTTGTTTCTGTGGTCTTTGCCGTTTCCTAAGCACCACGCTGCAGGGCTGTGAGCTGCCTGCAGCCCACATAGCACCACCACCATAAGGTGCAACGTGCTTGTGAATTTGGACAGCTGGGGTGTTGCAGTGTGGGGTTCTGTGTGCCTGCTCAGGGGCTGTGGGTTCAGCAAGAGGATTCCCATTCCCTTTGGCCAGGAGGGAAGGGAGGGCAAGCAGGGCTGCTGTCCTTCCCCAGCATTTGGCTCTAGGGAAGGTGAGTGCTCCCTGCACTGTGGCCCAGCCCCACACCACCCCATACCTCCACGCCACACTCGTTGACCGGGTGGAGGAAGAGCGGCTTGCGGTCAGGGCAGACGTGAGTGTACTGCTGGAGGAAATGGTCAGCGATGTGCAGCAGCTTCTTCTCCTGCCGGGAATTCGTCTTGTACGAAGGTGGTAAGTGGGACGTGTCAATGGAGCTCCAGTCAAAACCACTTCCGTGGCAGGAGGAGGAAGAGAGACACAGGTAATAAGGCAGGAGAATACAGGCAGGATGACCTGCTATCAAAACATGGCAAGCTGATGTATGCACAGAGACTCAGGGGATCTTTAAACAGCATGAGAGGCTCAGAGAATCTTTGCACAGTGGTGAATGGAGTTACAATCAAGTGAGTTGTCTTGTCTTGCACGTACACACTCTTGGACAAACACACCAGGCACACTTAGTCCACTCCCTGTGCAAGGAGACACCACATGCCATCCACACATGTGCAATCTCCCCATGGGCCCTGAAAGGGCTCATCCCAGTAAGAACCAGACACACATGACTTACGGTACATCACTTGAGACACTGTCTTCCTCCTCAGGCACCTTTGTCTCCTCGTCCTGGAGGCTGTCACTGATGTTCAAAGAGTTCAGGTCTTCTGCTGTTTGCTCCACTTCCTCATTCTCCTCCAGGACCTCCATTCTGCCTGGCACTACAGAAATACACACAGCAGGGTGAATTCAGAGTGGGACCCAGCTAGACAGCAACACAGCAACACTCGCATTGTGGCCACAGTGGTTTGTTATGTGAGCACGGCTGAAGCAGCTAGAAGCGTGACAATAAAGGGTGAGCACTGAAAGTGAGTTTGGACTAGGCTTGGTGGCTCTGTGTTCCTGGACACCCCAAGCGTGGGGGAGACGGCAGAGCAGGCAGAGCCTGGCTCAGTAGGGCACAGCACATCCCCACGTTCAGCCTGTGTCCCCGGTGCCTTCCACTCTGCCCGGGGTGCTGCTGGCGGGGCAGCAGCTCCACCAACCCGCTGTGCACGGGCCGAGGGCCGTGCCCGTCCCTGCGGCCGCCCGAAGGCCTTGGGGCGAGGGGGACGGTGCGCGGAGCCGGCAGCCTCCAAGGGCAGCGGCTGTTCGGTATCGCGCCCCGGCGGCGGCGGCGGGGCTGTTTGTTTGGCCGTCCCCGCGGTCGGGCTGACCCCGAGCGGGGCACACAGCGAGGGGGGAAGGCACCGCCCGGCCGCCCCCTCACCCCGCGGCTCCCAAGGGCAGCGCTGCCGCGGCCGCCGCCTGCCCGGGCCCGGCGCGGCGTCGCCATGGCAACGGGGACACGGCGGGGCCTGCGGCTCCCCCGGCCCTGCCACCCCCCGGCCTCCCCTCAGGGCCCCCGCCACACCTCTCCCGCCACGCCGGGCAGGACACAGACGCAGGTCCCGGGGGCTCCTTGGGCAGCTCCCCCCGGGCTGCCCCGGCCCCCGCTCCGCCGCCCTGCGCCTGCCCCGGCCCGGCCGCCCCCGCGCCCACAACGGCTGCCCCGGGGCCGTTGGGAGAGGGGACAGCGATGGGGCACAGCGAGGGGGTGACCCTGCCCGACAGCTCGGCTGAGCCAGCGCCCCTCCGAGACCTGCTCTGAAAAAACTCACGACTTTGGCTCTCTCGAAATAAAAGTTCCCCCCACGTCCCCGCCCCGCCATCCTTCTCCTCTGTTGCTGAGGCACTCACCCAAAAGCAGGCACCAAGGGATGGCAGGACGACTTTTTTTTTTTCTTTTTATTTTTTATTCATCTTTTTCTTATTATTTTTCTTAGTTTTCTTTTCCTCTTCCTCCTCCTTTTCCTCTCCTTTTTCTTTTTTTCTTTTCTTTTTTTTTCTTTTTTCTTTTATTTTTTCTTCTTAATTGGCAGTCCATTAAGCTGTAAGCAGGGTCAGGTGCTAAACACTTTTTTTTTTCTGTTTTTTTTTGTTGTGGTTAGGAAAAAACATGGATGGATGGAGTGAAGGAGGGATCAATATTCACATTAGCTGCTATGTTATGGTAACTGTAGCAATTAAAGCTCTGAGGATGCAAAGAGTACAGTCAATATATATATATAAAGAAGCACCATCTTGAGTGATTACTGCTGTTTGCAAATGATTGCTGTTGCCCAAATGGCATGAAGCTGTGTTGAGGGGGGCAAGGGGAAGATTAGGTTGGATATTAGGAAAAGGTGCTTCATCCAGACAGTGGTCGAGCACTGGAACAGGATCCCCAGAGAAGTGGTAACAACACCAAGCCTGACAGAGTCCAAGGAGTGTTTGGACAATGCTCTCAGGCACATGGTGGGATTCTTGGGGCTGTCCTGTGCAGGGCCAGGAGTTGAACTCGATGATCTTTGTGGGTCCCTTCCAAATCAGGATATTCTGTAATTCAAACTGAGGTGGGACCAAGCCCTCATCCCTCCATCTCTCACCAGTACTTCTCAGCAGCTCTTTGATGCCAGAAGTCAATAAAAACACAGCTGAGAGAAATGTATGTTGTGGTTGCAAAACTGCCTGTACTCAGTATCCAGAGTTATCTGGCCTTCACATGTGGTATCTGTTGCTACTGCTGCGTCAAAAACAGATGCCCAAAAACCAGCTGGATGCACCAACCCCGAGATCCCTGGGGGTTTTGCAGATACTCCCCCTGTTTGTGATCCCATCAGGGCTGTGAAATGAGTCAGCGTTCGCAGGCCGGTGGCTCACTGGAAGGGCCATCCATGCCAGAGGATGGACTTCCAGAGAGCCCTCTCCTCCCCGGCCCTGAAGGATGCTCAGCTGGCTCTTGTGCAATCGCAGAGGCAGCGTGGTGTTTGCGTGGGGGAGAGGGATGAGCTGCCAGAGGGCAATATAAAGCAGGGAGCACGGAGTGGCCTCGGGGCAGCGGTGGGTGGAGGAGCAGAGCGTGGCCTGGAGATGGTAAGTGGGATGAAATCGAGGTGTGGGATCTCTCAGGACTGGAGCAGGGAATAAATCCTCCTTGCTCAGCTGTCTGGCAGTCACAGCCGCTCGGGGTCGGTGAAGGGGTGGAGGGGGGTGTGTGCTGCTGGACCAGAGTGGGGCTTTTGGCATTGGCTTTGCCCTGCTCTCAGACAGAGCACTGCCCAGCCATCAGCCCTGGCTGACTCACATCCACTTCTCTGATAAGGAGTATCCGATGTCCAGGGCCATTCCAGGACTGTGCCATTAGTTTCCCATTATCTGTACCGAGAGGGGAGATGACTTAATCTGTGTCTTTTTGTCACTAATTTTAGTTGTGTTCAAGGCTTTGATTTTTTTTTTTAATCCTGTTGACTCCCTATGATGGATATGGTTTACTGGAAAAGTGAGGATCCTTTTGAAAATCCTAACTTTTCAAAAGAGCTGTGGTGGGAAGAGGGAAACTTCTTTCCTCTTTGGGGAGCCCAGATTGATGCCTCAGCTCTGTAGTTTTACTCAGTGCCAGTTCTCGCTGAAATGTGGCTTTATCGCTGTCACCACATCCCTGCAGGTCCAAGGGCTGCTTTTCCACCTCCTCTTTCTGGAATTGCTACCTAAATTCAGAACAGTATTTGACCCTTGTGCTAGCCTGAGGGGGTAGGAAACTACTTTGTGCCATCAAGCCTAAGAAATACAGTACAGATATTATTGCATCCATGCTTGAGGGTTCACTCTTTCTGAATGACTGCAAACATCTCCAACGAGCAGGGTACAAACCCGAGTTCTCCAGAGCCTGCTTGTTTTTCCAGGAGAGGACTGTGAGATGTTTGTTGCTGTTCTCTTGGCTCTGCCTGGCTGGCTGTGAAGGCAATAAGGGTGAGATTCCCTGTACTCTGTCCCTGCTGGGTCATGGATGGGTAATATGGAAAAATACTCAGCCTCTGAGAGCTGTGCAGGTCTTCCTGCAGTGGGACGAGTTCACGCTCACATCTCTCATCAGGGAGATGTTCTTGCTGCATTTCAGCTCACTTGCCTTTCCTTTGCTGCAGGTGAGCTGGTGAGCACACATGGCCTGAGGCCACGGGTTGCCCTCCATCTCAAGAGGAGCCCAGATGTCTGCCTGTCAAACCCGTGCCAGCACCAGGGGCACTGCCAGGTGATGGGGGACAGACCAGTTTGCAGCTGCAAACCAGGCTTCAAAGGGGAATTCTGCCAAGGTAGGGCTGGGAATGCTGGTGAGCACTCACCAGTCTGTCCAGGGGCACCAGAGGGAAGGGTGATGGGCACAGTGCACTGGTGTTACCACTGCTCTCCATTCCAGGAGAGCATCCCACCTCCTGGTCCAGGTGCATTCCCCACCACCATAGCCATGTCCTCGACTACGTGTTGGTACAAAGCCAAGTCACAGGGCATTTTCTTCTTCCCCAAAAGCTTTAATTCCTTAATTCCCTGGCTGTGCCGTGGTGTAGCTGTGCCAGGACAGCAGGACATGCTGCAGGGCACAGCTGCCTCTCCATCTCAGAACAACCACACACATTCTGGCACAGCTACAGTGAAGCCCCTTCCACGCACTAGCCAAAAGCTGTGTCTTCTTCCTCTGAAGGAGAGGGTTGCTGTCCCTGCCTGGTGCCCTTGGCAGACTGTGGGGATTCTGTGGACAGCCCTTGGAAGGGGCCAGACCCACAACATCTGCCTTTATGTCTTGAGCTTAAGGACTGTGTCTGTTCGGAGCAGTGGCAGCCATGGACTTGAGCAGCTCTTAGAAAATACCAGACCCACATTAACTTCTGCATGTTCCCAAAGGCCTGTCTTCTGCCCAGTGTCTCTGAAGAGCCCTACCAGCAGCCTCCACCAAGCCTGGGATGAGGGTCTGCTGAGCTCAGTGGGACTGTGCCATCCCCCAGCTGATGTAGGGCTCCTTCAGGCCTCTTCCTTATTGCTATTGCAGATGGCTTTTTCCCCCAGATGTGGTACTGAAGTTGGCCTGTGAGGAGGAGCATATGAAGATGATGGTGAGGAAGGAGGTGTTTGAACTCTTGAAAATCCCACGGGAGCTTGTCCACTTGAAGAACCAGGCGTGCAAGGTCTCAGAAAAGGAAGAAGAGGGTGAGCTGTTTTTTTCAGCCACCCTCACTGGTGAAAACCACACTGCCTGTGGGTCAATAATCGAGGTAAGGATCCAGCAGAGCCTTTCTGCATAGCTCCAAAGCCGTGAGAGGAGCAAGACGTGCTGAGTGGGGACAGCAAAGAGAAAGCCTCAAAGGTTTTTCCTTTTATATCTGGGTGTTGTAAAGTTCTCATTCCCTTTGAAAAGCTTCCCTGGGCATGTCAGAAGCCTCTGCTGCCTCTGCCAAACTGCTGCTGGCAGCACATTTTGCCTGATTTAGCAGAGCATGGAAGTCTCAGTTTGTGCTTTACTAGCTGATAACAGCCCTCAGCTTTCTGGCCACATCCTCTGAGCCCTGCAGCCCTGGCCCCTTGATCCCTCACTTGCTTCATGGATCAGGAAGGGTGCAGAGGAACTGGTGCTCCAGCTCTGCATTTTGCAGAAGAGCCCTCACCCACACTCATTATGTTGACTCCTGCCTGCTCTGGTGGTGGCTCCCAGTAGCCCCCAAACACAAAGCTTGAGCTAAAACCCCAGCAGATATCCAGGCCTGGAGCAGCTGCAGCTGAGTTTCACCTTCTGAGCTGGAGCTTGCATCTCTCTGTACGGATTTAGTCATAATCTGGACACTCGATTTTCTGTGCCATTGCAGAAAAACAGCTCCCATGTCTCCTACTCCAACGTCATTGAGTCAGAGCAGGAAGCCCAAGGGGCCATGATCTCCCGGAGTTTTCAGCTGGAAGTGCATTTCTCCTGCATCTATGCCTATGAGCAGGTGGTGAGGCTGCCCTTCGCTCTCACTGCTGTTGACAGGTGAGTGGTGCTGTTTCTCCCTGCTGCTGACATGGTGTCTTGGAGCTCGCAGAAAAGTAGATGCCTTCAATGAGGGGATCTGCAAAGGCCCTTGGGAGCCCCTAGGGAGCCCTGAGAGCAATGCCAGGCACCTTAGCCTGGCATCTTGGCCTCCCTTTTTCTTCCCAATGTGTTTTTTCAACACAAGGTTTGGGCCTGGGATGGAGCCAAAGTGGGGCACACACAGTCTGCCTTTCTCCTGCCCTCACTGCTTGAAACCAACTATCCAAAACGTGAAGGGTGGGGACTAGAAGAGGCCCTCACCAGGCTCCTGTGGAGGTGCAGGTTAGGGAGCCCTCATCCTCTGCTCTCCTCTCTTCTCTTCGTCGCTGCTCCCAGGCTGGTGCAGTCCGTGGTCAGAGAAGGACACTTCAACGTCAGCATGAGACTGTACAAGTCCCCCTCCTACCTCCAGCCTTATCACCTGCCGACCGTGGCCATCCCCCTCACAGACACACTCTATGTCCTGCTGGAGATAGAAGGACAGCAGCAGCTCAAGTACTTCCTGCTGAGTGTTTTGGACTGCTGGGCCACCCCAAGCACGGATCCCTTCCAGAGCGTGCGGCACAAGCTCATTGAGCAGGGGTGAGTGGAGGGCCCCCAGCACACCCGGTCTCCTTGCACCACGAGCACAGTCACATCCCTTTCCTGGCTGCTGAGGACGGGAGCAATGAGCAATGACAACACTGTTGCTCATAGGTGGAACCTGTGGTGGACACCATCATCAAACTGGCAGAACAGCCCCACAGATGAGCCCCTGAAAAGCTCTGAACTGAGCCCCTCTCCTGACCCTGCTCTGCTGCCAGCAGTGCTGCCTTCCTTCTAGTGCTGCTCCTGGCCAGCTAGGGAGTCAAAGCCTGCATTCCAGGCTGGGATGCTCCCCCTCATTTGGCACTCACTGACCCAGCTGTCATGTCCCAGGTGTCCCCATGACGAGACAGTGACCTATCTGAACGCCATTGGAGAGAGCAGCACCGCCAAGTTCAGCTTCCAGATGTTCCAGTTTGTTGGTTACCCCGAGGTGTTCCTGCACTGCCGTGTCCGGCTCTGCCTCCCCAGCAGTCCAGAGCCCTGTGCCAAGGTGAGCCCTCGCTGTTTTGCACCATCCCCTGGCCAGGCATGATGCTGGAGAAGACAAGCTCCTTGCAGAAGGGGCTCTGCTCTGGTTCTGGGTGCTTCACACAATAAACACCAGGAGCTCACCCCAGCACCCTGAACTAAAGGTACAAGGGCTTGAACCCAAAGGAGAGCCCCTTTCCCTCTTCCCTCTGGCTGTTGGGTATTTGCAGGGGGAGAAGTTGATGCCAGGATTTGGGGAGGAACGAGCTAAGATCCTTTAGGACCTGGTGCCTCTCATGCTCTGGGGTCCTGACTGCTCCCAGGCTGCAGCTCCAACGGGGCCTCTGCCAGCAGGAGACCTCTGGCCCTTTGATCAGACTTTCCCCCTGTCCTCTGGTTCCATCACCCTTCCCTTGGCTCTGTTGACAGCAATGCCCAAGGCACTGGAAGAACAAGCGGGCACTGGTGGATGACTACAATAAGATTGTCTCCTATGGGCCCATCCACCTGCTGGCTGCTCCTTCCTTGGAAGCAGAGACCCATCATTCCAGCACTGACCAACAGGACCTGGCAGGTACTTAGGTCCTTCTGGGAAGGACAGGAGCAGCTCCCAGACCCTTGCAGCTGTCTAGGCAGTGCCAGGTTGTTAAAAAGGGCTGCTAAAATCAGTGCCCTGCACAGAGGCATGGAGTCTTTCAGGTGTCATGGCCACTCATGGCAAAGTCCAAAGCCAAACCAGCACAGGTTGGGATGAGCAGGGGAGCTGGGCAGGAAGGGACCCAAAGCCAGAAGGCTGGTGGTGCAGCACCCCAGCCAGGGAAGGCTCTGCATCATCAGCCCAGCAAGGCAGGCTCCTCCTGAGCACTGAGGTCAATCCAGGAGATCCAAGCAGTGGTCCAGGACCAGGTTGAGGGCAAGCACACCTACAGCGTAGCTCAGACCAGGCATAAATACTGAACTAGATGGAACCCTTGGGCAGCAGGGGTGGGTGGAGGCCATTTGAGGTGACTGAGTCCTATCTAGTGCCCCCAGGGTTCCCAAGTACCCCCAGCTCCAGTGGCTCCTGCCCTTTCACAGGAGGTGACCTCCCCCCCAGATCTGTCCCCAGCTGGGAGATGCTGCGCTGGGGCTCAGAGCTGGCTCAGGGGACCCAGATATGTCACGAGTCTCTCTCCTCTTTGGCAGGACCCAACCCGTGGCTCCCCGGGGCCCTCGTCCTGCTGTGTGTGCTTGGTGTGCTCACCGTGGCGGGGGCAGCCGTCAGTGTGGGGCGGAGAATGGGTTAGGAAACGGCTGTTTCCAAATAAACGTGACAGCAGCAGAGAGCCTCTTGCCTGTGTCTTTATGGGGTTTGGGGGAAGAAAGTGGTGGTTGGACTCAAACAGTGCTTGAAGGTTGAGGCTCATCAGAGTGTTTCTGCTCCCTCTAGCATCCCTAGAACCTACTCATCCCTGCCAGGGTCACACTCTCTAAACTCAAAGCATGCACCCAGGGCTGGGAGGGTTCTTCCCGTGTTCCTCTTCCCCAGAGAGACACCCTGGTGCATGGGGTGATGGAGGTGTCCCAGCACCAGATACTTGCCCACCAAAGCTGGTCTTTGTGTGGTTCTGTGGGACACAGATGTGGTGTTAGCAGAGAAGGGGTTGCTCTGTGCATGCACATCCGTGTGTGTGTGTGTATTTATCCACACTGATTTCTCCCTTCATCCATGACAAATTGCCAGCAAGGTTTCTGCCATTTGATACATCTCCAATATAAAGCAAATAACAAACAATATTGTAAGTATCAAAGACTAAATCCACAGTGCTCAGAGAGCTGGCAGGGATTTAATACTGCAACATGGATCAGGAGAAGACAAGCAGTGGCCCTGCGAGGTGGCTGTGTGTGAGCTTCCAGCTGCTGCACAGTATCCGTGCACAAATCATTGCTGGCCCCAGTGGGTGTTTTGCAGGAAAGACATCCAGCAGATCCCTGCCAGAGAGCAGGAGATGTATTGCAAAGAACCTCATGGGATTTCTCTTTTTTTTTTTTTTGCTGGTTCCCAGACCTGAACCTCCCATGTCTGGAGCGAGTCATTCCTCTCCCTCCAACGGCAGGAAACCCATTGCTGGACTGGTTCAGTACCAAAGGCCATCTCTAGTGAAGAGAGGGGATGGTCCATCACAGCTGAAGGTGGGAGGTTCATGGGCTCCCCCTCATCCCTTCAACAGCCCTTTGGGGGATGAGATCGGGGCATTTCAAGACCATGGAACTTCAGCCTGGAGGGACTTCAGCAGAAGGGTCATCTCTGGAGCTCCTTGCCCAAGGAATGGCAGGGCCAAAGCAAAGAGCCCTGCTGAGGTGGATCATGCCCACTGAAGGGTAAACTCAGGTGTGGCAAACTGATCCCTCCCTCCGTGGGGAAGCTGCATCTACTGGGATCAAAGATTGCTCTCAGCAGATGCACACACAGGCAGGAAGAGAGGTCCAGCCAGGAGCTACTCCTGGGAGACTGTGGTGTTTTTGTCATGTCTGATGATGTGGGACAGGGAGCCAGTGGTCTCCTTCGTCTTTGGGTAGTAGAGGATGACCAGCCAGATGAATATGAAGATTCCTGCATGGAAAGGAATACAAATACTCAGCAACAGCAGGAGACGGTGAGAAGGACCTTGCCAGGATGCTGACAGCACTTCCCTGCTGCTTCCAGGGGATTACCCCAGCTCACTCCTGCTCCCCCTCACCCCATACTCCAGGTGCACCATTTGGCTGGGACATGCCAAATGTCCCTAATTCTCTGCTGAGGAATGACTTCCTTGGAGGAAAACTATCCTCACTGCTCAGAGGCAGCACTGACCTTGGAGAGAGTTGAGGATGGTGAAGAGGTAGAGCACGGGCGCAGAGGAGGTGCCGTGGGTGAGGAATGCCAGGGCCCAGGTGGCTCCCAGCAGGCAGAAGAGCCCTGCTGCCACTAGGGCCACCTTCCAGGGCTTGTGGCCTCCCTGCACCACCCCTGTGCCCTGCAAGCTGCAGCTCTTCTGGGTCACCACCCCAAAGAGAGCCATGTTGAAGAGGAAGATGAGGCTGAAGTAGCCGCAGTTGGTGATGTAGTGGAGCAGGAGATGTTTGGAAGTGATCCAGCACCTGAAAAGAGAGAACCTCCAGTGGCCCTGCAAGCCCCAGAAGCACTCCTGGGAGCCTCCACAGGGAGATGTTTCAGGGATGCAGGGACACCCTTGTGCTGGGGGGGATTTTCTAAGGCCAGGATGAAGCAAGGGGCCAGTGGTGCATATCCACTGCTCTCGTGTTGCTCAGCTGGGAGGGATCCTGGGGAAGCTCCAGGTGGACCTTGGACATCCCTCCATGACCTGGAGGGCTGCAGGCATGACCAAGGAAGCTCAGCATGAGAGGTGGTGGTGGGGGGGGTGGCTGATGTGTCGTAATCACAATTGAGGAAGCAGAAGCATGGCGTAAAGCCGAGCTGGATGGGTGCAATCCCTGACTGCTGCACTCCCAGAAGGACTGGGCTACCACTCCTCATGCCAAAGGGCCACCCAAGCCCTGTGGGCAGTGGTGCACGCACAGGTGGGCTATGACCTGGTGGTCCGTGGTGTGGATGCTGTACTCTCCGTAGGAGCCGACGACTCCTGCCACTCCCACCACGAGAACGGGCAAGCCTGGAAGAAGGGAGACACACGGAATCACAGAATTGTTTAGGTTGGAAAGAACCTCTAAGATCATTGAGGGCAACCATTATTCTAGCACATTCACCACCAAAGCATGTCCCCAGGTGCCACATCCACACATCTTTTGAACACTTCCAGGGATGGTGACTCCACCATTGCCCAGGGCAGCCTGTTCCAGTACCTGACTACCCTTTCAGTGCAGAAATTTTCCTTAATATCCAATCTAAACCTCCTACTGCCCCCCTCTCTCCCCCAGGCTGGTGGTGCTCACCCCAGCCAAGCAGGCACAGCTTCACCAGGTAGTGGTGGATGTAGACACCAAGGACCTTGACGAAGAGGAGGTAGAGCTGACAGCCCTCCAGCGCCGTCCAGGTGAAGCAGCAGAGCAGGCAGTAGTGGGTGAGCCCCCCCAGGACCTTACAGGTCACTGCCTTGGTCCTCCCAGAGAGCCCACTGTTGAGCAGGAAGGCCAGGTTGAGGAGGAACAGGCTGCCCACGAGGTTCATGTGCAGCCCCAGGTTGGTGCGGCGGGTCTCGTCAAACCTGAACCTGCACCTGAGCGTTCCCAGAGGGACCAGGAAAAGCAGAGGTCACGGGTGCTGCACCACAGCAGGTCCATGCAGAGGCACCGGAATGGCCCCACATCTCTCCTGGCTTGACAAGTCCCCGTGGAGCTGCTGGCACATCCTACCTTATGAAGATGCAGAAGGCGATGGTGAAGATGGAAAAAGCCATGGCTACCCCACAGCCAGCGGTGGCAACAGACATCAAGGCTTGTGCTGTGGAGCCATCCAGAGCTGGGTTCTGCCAAACATGCATGTGTTGGGTTAGACAGGCCCCAGACCAGCCTAGAAAACCCATCTGCAGCTACCAGAGCCACAGGGCTGATAAACATGGTGGGCCAGCAAAAGGTCTCTGGGGGGAACAAGGCAGTGGTGGCTCAGAGGAGATGTTCCCCAAGGTGGGGTGAGGAGTGGGAGAAATGGACCACCTTGACCACCCTCCTGAGAGACTTCACCAAGATATGTGACATCAGGCCTTGCTACTCCAGAGCTTGCATTAGGCTGGAGCCTTTTCCAGGCTGCCCTGCTTTGCTGCCCTGCTGAGCTGGGCCTGGGCTTGTGTTTGGGACCTGGGCTTGCCTGGAAAAAGCTATAACTATCCTTGTATGGCTGCTCATGACACCAGAGGGGCCACCAAAATGGGCAGGCAGCACTGTCAGGGTATGAGCAGGAGTTGTGGGGAGCGGGATCATCACCAGGAGGAGGGTGAAGAAGGTGAGATGGTCACAGGAGCAGACTGTCTTCTTGTCCCCGGGCTGTGTGACACATCCACTGCTGCACCAGCCTCCTGCCTGCCCTGCAAGGGGCAAGGAGTGACCACGGAGAGCTCCAGGCACAGCCCCTGTGCCCGGCCCCGCCGAGGACTGCACCTTTGCTGGGATCCCAGAAGACACACTGTGGGGTGACACCCTGCCAAGAGGGACAGCGGCATCAGCTGGTGCCACAGTGAGGGGCACTGGAGAAGGGATGGAGGGCGGGCAGGGCTGGCTTACAGGGTGCAGCTGGCTGTGGGTGAAGGTGAGCTGCACGGGGTCCCGCAGCCCGGAGATGCTGGTGTTTCCCACTGTGATGCCCACCACGGTGTTGTCCAGGACCTGTCCTGCCTGGTTGACTTCCTGCATGGGGGGAACGTTACCTGAGCCCAGCTGGTGTGTAGTGAGTGCCCGTGGCAGCACGAAGGATGCCAGCAATGCCAGCTCATACCTTGAACATGCCAAGCTGCTGGATGTTGAGGACTGTCACCACCACGTGCACTACCTGGCTACTCAGAGACCGAAATATCTCCCTAGGGAGATGGATTTTTCCTGCCTTCCCCTTCTCTGTGGTATTCAGCATGCTGGGACCCTGCGGTGGAGGAGGACAGGGAGAGGCTGTTGCTGGCAGATCACTCCTCTGCTTGGGACCCACCAACCTTGCTCCAAATTCAGCCAAATTCAGCCCTGCCTGGGTGGGTTTGCTCAGCAACATCAGGAGAAGCCCTGAGGGCAGAAGGAGAGAAACTCATCCCCAGTAGCTACAGAGGCAGAGGTGGGAATGGGACCCACAAGGTCCTCAACCCATGATCACCCATGAGTGGGACATCCAGAGCTGGGAGAGCCTGTGGGTGGGCAGGAGGCCCAAGGTCACACACATTCCTCCTCCTTTCCTACCTTGCTCTCCCCCTGACCACCCCTGTCTGCTGGGACGGCTCTCAGGGAGGGCTCTTTCCTCCCAGGCACCATTTCTCGTGACTCCTCGCCAAGGGATGTTAAAATTGACGTGGGTCCATGATGCAACCCCGGAACAGGGCGGAGGAAGAGCACAGCAGGGCACACCACACCCCAGGGCAAGGGCTTGGAAGAGGGACACCTGGAAAGCGTGGGACCTTCCAAGCGAGGGAGAGGGAAGGGCACATCTCACCTCCGTGGGGGAAAAGGTGATGAGAACATCACGGGCGACAGCCCTGCTGACATTGAGGAACAGCTTCTTGAGCCCGACCGGCTGACTGTGCAGCCCCTGCACCTCCCTGCGGGACGGGAGGGGGGCTGTGGGACTGGTGGATGCAAGGAGCTGAGCCCCCAAGACCCTGCCACGGCCCGCCCTGCTGCTACCTGAACCAGCGATCCCGCAGGCAGGCACAGGCGGAGCTGTGAGAGCGCCCCAGCTCCGGGCAGCGCCGCGGCAGCCCGAGGATGCTAAACCCGCTGTGCCATTTCCCCGGCTCCACCGTCACGTTGCAGCACGAGAGGGAATCGTCACCCCGACCCAGAGCTGGGGAGGGTGGCAGCAGGGTGAGCACCAGGCACCACGGCGTTGGGTGGGCCGAGGGTAGGGAGGGGGGGCCACCACTCACCAGAACAGCGCTCCTTTCCCCCGGCAACATCTGGAAGAACAGTCCGTTAAGAAATGGAGGGAAAAGCCCAAAATCTAGGGTCAGTCCTCCCCTTGCCCACGAGGGGAGGGGAGGCAGGAGAATCTGGCAGCTACCAGGTTTGAGAGGAACAGTTCTGCAGTTACACGGGCTTCAAAAACACCCGGACAGCCATCAGGGCTGGTGAGGACAAAGGCACTGTGTCCAGCCCCCCCGGGAGGCTCTGCAGAGGAGACCTTGAGCTTCTGGTTCCAGATTATTAAAAAATGCCCCAGTAGTAAACCCCCCCCAAGTCCACTTGCCTCTGCCAGTTCTGCACATCTCAGCATGGATGCTCCCTCTGGCCTGTCCACTTTTCAGGGTGAAACACCCCATCATAGCCTTTGGGTGAACACTTTCCCATGGGAAACCTTCCCCTCAAGCCCATAGCACTCCCACATCGAGGATGTCTATCCCCCCCTCACCCACCACTCACCAGGCAGCATCAGGAACAGCAGGATGGTGCCCAGGAACAGGTTCATGCTGCTTTGTGGGGTCTCCTGACCACCCCTGGCTGTCCCACCTCACTCAGGTCCCCTCGTCCCAGCAGCTCAGCTCCTCCCCAGGGCTTGTGGCCACTCCTGAGGCAACGGGACGTGTCTTCATTTCCTTTCTGAGAACCCCTCACGCCTTCCTGTGGGCTGGCAAGGGACCTCCTGCCCTGGCTCACAGCAACAGTGACAACTGTCAGAGCTGCAGCGTTTCCCTCTTGGCTCCTTCTGCTCACTGACGTGGGGTTTTTTGCTTTCCCTTTCTCTCCCCAGTCCTGCCAAGGGGTCGATGGCCCTCACCAGCACAGTGACATGCTGGAGCATCCCCCTCCTAAACTGGGCATCACCACAAGCTGCTGGGATGAAGCATCCCCTTCCTGGGAAGGTGTCCCCACCCCAGGTGGGTCCTGGAAGCTGGGTGGAGGGGGATGAGCTGCAGCCAGAGCACCCTCTGGAAGGGCAAATGGTGGAACAGGGGATGTGGTGCTGCACTTGCAAGTGGTACAGCCAGGTTCTGCCTGGCCCCACAGCCACTGAGGGAGGCAACTCCCTTCCTGTGAAGTCTCCCTCTTTGGATCTCTGTCCTCCACCAGCTTCCCTTTCCGCTGGGTAGTGATGGTCCCTCGATTCCCAAGCCATTGGCATCTCCCTCCATCACCCCAACCCCTATGGTACCAGGCAGGCAGAGCTCTGCCAGGAGCAAAATCACCTGTCCCAGCTCAGAAGGATCCTACAGGCTGGAATGCTGAGTCCTGCTTGGGGATGGGACAACCCCAGCTGAGGGACAGATCCCATTGGAGAGCCCAGCAATGCACCCAGCAGAGATCCCAGCAAGCCACACTCTGAGAGGAACAACTTTAATGGGCACGAGTCTGGTGTGCAGGCATGCTCACTGAACTCCTACACCATCCAAAAATAGACATCCAACAAAATAACAAAAATAGATTATTCCAGCTGCCAGAGGGTGTGGCGGGGGCAGAGTCATTCTGTCTTCCCTGGGGAAGGACCCTCATGCTGACCACCAGCAAGGGCTGAAGACGGGGCCTTTCCCAGCCATTATCCCTGCTCTCAGGGCATGGCAGAGGATGCCTGGAGGCACTGGGGACCCTGCCCCTTCCACGTTTTGCAGCCCCCACTGCCCAGGCGAATATTCCCTCCCTCCTTTCTGCCCCAAAGGTGCCAAGCCAGTCAGGATGTGGTGGGTGGGAAAACTGGGGAGGGGGCTGGCAGAGGTGAGGTCCCTCTGCAGGTCCCTGGGCTCCTCACAGCCCTATGGGGCGGGTGCAGTAGCAAAGCAGATGGAGTCAGTCCTTCCTGTGGCCGTCCTCAGCACAGGGAGCCCGTGCACGGCACGGCCACCACAGGGCTCAGCCGATGTGGCTGCTGTTGGGCTGCAGCTTGACGCTGTCTGAGCTGCACTGCGAGTCAGGGGACTTCCTCGCCTGCAGCACCATGGTCCAGTACCAGAGGAAGATGAGGAAGCCTGTGAGAGGGGAGAGGAAGGGTGGGTGAGCCCCCACGAGGCACCAACAGCAGCTGAGAGCGAGCCAGCCAGCCTGCCAGGGCTCCTCTCACACCCCATGAAAGCCCCAGTGTCCCCAGGCTCACCTTGGAGGGAGTTGATGATGGTGAAGATGTAGAGGGAGACAAGGCAGAAGACACCAGAGGTGAAGGAGAAGAAGATCAGTGCCCAGGGAATGCCCAGCAGGATGCTCAGCCCCAAGAGGGCCAGGACATGCTTGAGCTTGTGGCCTTTCTTGTTCTGCCGGAGGATCTCCCGGACCATGGCCCCCAGCATGACCGAGTTGAAGAGGAACACCAGGCTGAAGAAACCCAGGTTCACGATGTTATGGATCAGGGGGCTCGTGATCCAGCAGCTGGAGGGAGGAGAAAGGGCAGAGGGTTACGCTGTGTCACCACACAGGGACATGAGCTGGGAGGGGCTGGAGGGAGCATGAAAATGTGGTGCCAACCCAGTGCCCAGGGTGGGGGGCACACCCTGGCACAAAGCCCCAGAAAGGCCACAGGGGGGCCAAGGAGAGTCTGCAGGACACAGTGAAGGTTCAACCAGCTGACTTTACCTCTGACCAGAAACCAGGCCACCCATTTCCACCACTTACATGGTTGCGTTGGTGGATTTGCCACTGACGGACTCATAGACGGGGACGGAGAAGGGGCCGTAGTTGGTCCAGTTGGCCAGGAAGATCAGCATCACACAGAGGAAGGGGAATCCTGCGTGGCAAGAGCAGAGTGAAGTGGCTGCCCTAGTCCCTGGCTTTTGGACCTTCTGGGAGGACTTGCTTCCCCTTTCTCCCTGTGTGGAGTACAAACCAACATCCTCTCCTCCAACAGGGCACTGAGATCAGAGCAGGCAACAAAGATGCCTGGCTTAAGCCCTGGCCTGGGAGTGGGCTGTGCTGTGCTGACCCCAACCAGGGGTCCACCAGGGACATGGAACTTAAGCCCACAAAAGGTCATGAAGTCTTCCTACCACAGCTTCCTGCCCAAAGCATGGCAGAGATGTGTGGGTGCTTCCTGCATCCAGCCCGTCTCTCTGGGCTGTCACGGATGTTTCTTTCAGAAAGAGAGGATCCCACTACTATTTAAAGACCCCAAGTGGTGGCTCTCACATGTCTCCCTTGCTGGGTGACCCCTAGGGTGACCCACCCTTGCTCTTGCACCAGTTTCTGCTCTCAGCCATTGAGTCTCCTTCTCCACCCCTCTGCTTTCAGACATCTGCTCCCGCACAGCTCCGTCTCCATCCCCATCCAGGCATCCCATACCCCAGTGCCCCTCCACCCTGTGCCCTCGGGGTGTCTCTGCCTCCCCAGTGCTCACCCCAGCCCACCAGGCAGAGCTTGAGGAGGAAGTGGTCATGGTAGGCGTTGAAGACTTCGATCACGAGCCGGTAGAGGTTGTAGCCCTCGATGCCCATCCAGGTGAGGCAGCTCAGAAGGGAGAAGTGCAGAAAGAGCCCCCCAGCTCTGCAGATCGCCTCGCTGCCGCTGGAGGCCAAGTGCTCGGAGATGAGGAAGGTCATATCCAGCAGGAAGATGGCACCCAGCAGGTTCATGTGGATGTGCATGCTCGTGATCTGGTCTCGCTGTTTGCTTCTGGAGAACGGAAGGGAGCAGACCTCACCACCACGTCCTTGGTGCCCCACAGCGCCCCACAGCTTCACATGGGCCCTTGAAAAGATCTTTGCAGGCTTCTGCTTGCTGGATCCATAACAACAACCAAGCAGATTTTCCAAAATCACTGAAAAGAGAGGTGTTCCCGAGCACCCTGCAGGAGGCCTGACCAAGGGGGTGGTTTCTGGAGAGGAGAACTTTGCTTTCTTCAAGCCTGGCTCCTTCATCATGCTTCTAGCCAGGCCACCAACTGCACTTGGAGAGCTTGTGCCCTGCCAGGGGTTCATGGCAAGGGACAGGACACAGACAGGGAGCGTGGGGTGAACCATCAGACTGTACCTGAAGTAGAGGAAGACGATGGTGCAAATGGAGGCCAAAGCTGAGATCAGGCAGCCGATGTAGGTTATGATGCTCAGGTAATGCCTGTGCACATGGGTGATCTCTGGGGAGGATACCTGAGGAGAAGGAGGAATGAGAGATGGTGAGGAAGAACAGCCAGGGGGAACAATGTGGAGAGCTGTGGGAAGGTGCTACCCACCATCAGCACGGCAAAGTAGGTGAGGTGGTTGCACCTGCACTCGGTCTGGCTGCTCCCTGTCACTGTGGCACAGCCATAGCTGTCCCAGCTCCCAGAACTGGCTGTGCAAGAGAAAGGGAGAGTGTCTGGTGAGCAGCAGGAACATCTGCCTCGGGTTCATGGATCTTTAGGGCAAGGAAAGAGGCAGGACAAGAGTGAGGGGTCCCAGCTTGGCCCAGGCCATGCGCACATATTCAGATGGCCCACTCAGCACCAGAACCCATTCCTAGGGAAGGGGAAAGCTCTTAGGTTAGCTATGGAGGGAAAAACCTGACATCAACCCTGTGGGAATGGTTTATGGAGTTGCAGCAAGGAAGGGAGGTGCAGAGCAACCTTCACTCCTACCAGCAGGGCTGTGGTACCTTGCAAAAGGGGCAAAGGCAGCACCTGGCTTCACACCCAAGGGCAGGGGCACTCACCAGTGATGTCCTCCTGCCAGAAGACACACAGTGGGGTCACATTCCTCTGCAATGACAAAACCATGAGCCCTGGTCAGGATGCAGCTGTGGGTTTGTTGCCCACCCAGCACATCTGACAGGGGAGACCATGGGGCAGGAGGCAAGATGATCTCAGGAGACAAACCAACCACTATGAAACAAGAAGGCTCCAGAGAGATGATGGAGCAGATACCTCCTTCCAGGTCCCCTTTTCCAAACAAGGGGTTCAGCTTTGAGTCAGGCACCTCACAGGGCCATGAATGAGCGAAAGGATTGTTAACTGAGAGTGTTTCCCAGCCTTGGACACTGTGCTGGAGGTGGCACATCTGCCATGCAGCATCTCCTGGGCAGGTGGAGGCAGTGCCACCCCCAGTGCACACAGTGAAGCCCTAAAAGACACAGCAGACCCTGCACAGGCAGGCCAAGGGCATGGACCTGCTGGATTGTGACCACTCTCTAGGCTGGCAGGGCCTGAGCCCTCCTTGCCCCTCCACTCCTGGAGGGATCAGGTTCAACGAGGCTGTGCCCCCACCTACCGGCAGCTGCTCGTGGAAGAAAGTGAGGACCACTGGGTCAGAGAGGTTGGCTACCACTGTGTCCACCAGGGAGATGCTGACCACCTTGTCACCCAGGACGTGGCTGCTGTTTTCATCCTGTTGGAGAAAAAGAGGAGGCAGTGGCAGTGGAGGAAGGGAAAGCTGCTGGATGTGAAAGTCCCCAAGAAGGAGGTCCCAGGACTCCTTCCACATCAAGCTTCCCTGTAGCACCAGACACTCCACCACGCCATGTGTGTGGGCGTTACCTGGAACATGGTTTGGTTGTCGATGTCCATGAGGAGCACCCTGT